GCCCCGGAGTTGTAATTCCTTTTTAAAAAAGGAATTAGGTTGCCGCCGTCGGAGCCATTCCGGATTGAGCTGAAGGATCCATTCCGGAATGACTCCAGGCTTGTGTGTGAAAACGTCCTGTGAAATGTTGGAGGCAAAAGTCCAGACAGGGCTGAAAATCCGCTGCTGGTTTTGAAAGAAAGTATTTTGTGATGTTAAGCCATGCATGATACAATCTACCAGAGTGTAGAGTTATTGCTTCCCTAGGCTTCCAGGAGATATAATTCATCTTTTTTGGGGAAGAAACAGGAAAAGGGTGGTAATCTGGGGTTCCCAGAAAGGTCAAGAGCCACCAAAACAGCTGCATACAGCTCAAAGTCTGGCCTGTGCCTAACCACTGATGCCACATTTTTTTTCATTTATATACCACTTCATATTGCGATATGGAGTGTCTAAGCGGTTTACAACTGTAAGCTCATTGTCCTTAACAGTTGGGTACTCATTTTAGCGACCTCGGAAGGATGCAGGCCCGAGTCTAGCCTGAGCTCTGGCTAGTATTGAACTCACAACCTTGTGGTTTATGAGTGAGTGGCTGCAGTATAGGCATTTAACCACTGTGCTTTGAGTACCTCTCTTGTTGAAAGTTCATGTTTAAAGACTCATCATTCATACTTGAATTTCATTTCAAAAGCCCCACAGACACTTTATTTGGCTTATATGCACTCTGTCAATGGTATGCTCAAGGCAGCTAACTCTTTCTTGAGTTGGCTCATGTGGGAATATTTTCCAATTCTGCTCACTTGGACATTGATTTGCAGTCCATTCTAAGGCATGGTCTGCAAAACAGGCTTGGGAATTGGTGAATGGGATGACCCAAGTATGTATTCTGTTCACAAACACTCCGGATTGTGAATTTGCATAAAATTTGAATAAGCTCATTTATATGTATATATGTAAATTTAGAAATGTAGAAATAAGAACCTCTCAGCTTAGTGGGGGAGTCTGTGACCAAGTGACCCTGTGTGCCTGCTTCTTCTCTACTCCAGGGACTAATAAATGGGGATGAGAATCGTGCAGGTCCTTACTCTCCTTTACTTAGGGTCTTTGCAGACTGCCAGAAATAGTGCACATTAAATTGAGGCACTGCCCTGGCTCAGTGCTAGGGAATCATGGGAACTGTAATTTATTTTGGCACCAGAGCTCTCTCACAGAGAAGGCTCAATGTCTCAGAAAAAAATACAATTCCCATGACTCCCTAGCACTGAGCCAGGGCAGTGCCTCAATTTAATGTGCACTATTTCTGGCAGTCTGCAAAGGCCCTTACTTACCAGTTTCTCTCTCCTCTTGATCTTCAAACTGGACTTGGACTGAACAGGCCTTTGGCTTTAGACAGAGGACTATCTTGTGTCATCTGAAAAGCAGGAGACATATTGCTGTTGTGTTCCTTCAAGTCATTTCTGACTTATTGTGACCCTAAGGTGAACTTATCACTGGGGTTTCTTGACAAGATTTCTTTAGAGGAGGTTTGTCATTGTTTTCTTGTGAGTTTGAGAATGTGTTACGTGCATAAGTCCATCCATTGGGTCCCCATGGCTGAATGGGGATTTGAACCCTGGTCTGGGGTCCTAGCCCAATGCTTAAACCACTACACTACTCTGGCTCAGACACCTGACTATGCTATAAATGAAGAACTAGATGTAAATAAAAAAAAACCCCTACAAAATAAATGAAGAAAGGAACTGTATGAAGGATTAGTTGCTGTTTTTCTTTACCAAAATGAACATACTCGGCTTTCCAAAAGGGTTGCAAAGAATCACTGAGCAAGTGAGCACACATTTCCATCAATTGCCTTTTGTTGTGATTTGTTGTTAATTTCACTGCTTGCAATAAGATTGTCATTATGAATGTTAACCATGGGCACAGAAATCAGTGGGAGTTCCCCTTCAATTTCCTCTGGCAATGGATCAAAGAAAAGGAGCATTTTAATGCTACCTTCAACATGCTGTGTATTGTGCCCCTTATTATATGTTAAGAAGTAAACTGATTGCTGCCTGGGCAAAATTTATCTAGCCATGGTAGGTAGTCAACTGGTAATTGATGGAACTGGGGTATATAAATAATGGCTAAACCCTATTATGTGTCACCATATTCATATTAGACAAACTGCTTATTAAGCTGGCCTGGTGCTTTTCAGACTTCACAAAAGATGTTATCTTGAGCATTTACAGGATGGAAAACAAAATTAATAAACAAACAAAATCAAAAAGGCTAAAATGGAAATCCTTGTCAGTTAATTCTGACACAATGAACAAGACAAACTGGTCATGCAGATGTTAAACCAGAATAATGACAAAACCTGGAATTTATAAATATATAATTGAAGCTCAAACTGTGAATATTGTCCAGAACTGGAGGAGGTTACTTTGGGGCCTACAAGTCCCTGAATCCCGAATTCTAGCAAGGGATTCTGGGAACTAAGTCTAAAGAAGTAATTTTTCCAAGTTCTGTTTTAAACTAGATGCATTCCACAAGCTGTAAGATGTACATCAAACCTCTTTTTACTAGACGGAGGCCAAGCTAGCTTGTCAGAGTCAGTTCAGTTTTGAGGATAGCTACTGGAGCCATCACAAGTAGAAATACAATGAGTAGACAGGGTAGGCATTTCTTCATCACCTAGAGGAAATGCAGGAATGAAAAAAAAGACACATTTGATAGTAAGGGATCAACTTGAATGTATTACAGTGCTGAGAGGTCCTACAGAGTGAAAAAAGAGGGGTTTGTGTATGTTTCCATAATTGAAAACAGGGATAGACAACTCATGACCTTCCAAAAGTCGATTGCTACTCCCATCAGTCCTATCCAGTGTAGCCAATGGTGAGGGATGATGTTAGTTACAGTCTGACACCAATTTTAGAGGGCCCTGCTTTAACATGTGACAATACCAGGCAGCTCACAGTATGATTTTTACAGACACAGAGAACTGCTGAAAGCTGGCCATGTTAAAGTTCTGCTTATTGATCTTCACAGAAAAGGAATGGAGAATGGTGTTATGTTTAGATTGCTGCAAGATCTTGGATGAACTGTAGAAGAACACCAATTAGTCTCCATTTTCTTCAACTAAGGCTTGAAAGATGAAAACGTAATTCAGCATAGCTTGTGTGTTCAGTTTAGCCCCTCAGCTTGTCATAATAAATTATGAGAAACAACAAGGGAATTAGGAAGTTGCAAATCAGACCTTAATGGAGATCTTAAGTGAAGACAAAGCACAGCCAGCTAGAGCTGACACTTGCCAAATTCCAGCTAGGCTTGAAGGGCAATTATTTTCATGGCTCCCCCTTTGGCCCAAATTCCATTTTTTATTTCTCATTTCTTTCTTTTTTTGTATCATTCCAACTTCAACACACCAAAGGGATATGCTAACTTAACTTTCATGTACATTTAATTCCTTGAATGTGGTTATCTGTTTCCAAAGGTGTTCCCCTAGAGTTTTGCAAGAACAGGAGAGACCACAGTTTGGCACTGAGCATAACAAAAGGCAAACACATGCAAAGATCAAAGGCTGGATTCTTCAACTTGAACTTGAAAAGACATGGACAGCCACGGCCACCATGTGCGTGTCTCTTCTCTTCCGATGGATTGCACCTCCTAAAAGGGGCCAAATTACTAGTAAATTTGTCCTGATGATGCCCCCCCCAATAGGAAATACCCTGAATTATTAAACTAATTCCACTCACTCCACATTCATTTGTGATGTATTTGGTGTTTGCCATGGCATTTGCAATCACAGGTATAACAGCGTGTTAAGACAACCTATGTTCATCAAACCACCAAACTACAGATACAGACTATAGTCATGTTTGTGCATTGTTACATTAGCATTTGTATTTTTTCTAGGGTTACACAGTGGTGGAGAGAGAGAAGGCAGATGGGTATTATCACAAATTGGTGGTGGTGGGGCTTTGGTTATTGCAGAAGGTGGAAGATAATACTACCCTCAACAATAATCTTCCTTGACATATATGGACATAACATAGACTGGATGCCAGTTAGCCTTTGTGAAATACAAAGTGTGTGTGCAGAGTCAGTCCAAGTTATTTTGCTGCTTTAGACAAAGTGCAAGATGGCATGTCTTCTCCATATTCCACATAAAGAAGGTGACTGGGGTGGCACTTGAATTGTACTGTAGTTTATGGACTACAAGGCAGGTTCCTTGGTAGACAATTCTCTGTCCTCCAACATCTTGCCTAATCTCTATCCACAAGGCAGCTGCCTCACTCTGCCTAATGGCAGATGAGGTTCTGTAAGTGTGAAACCAATTCTGGGATTGCTTCCAATTTTAAGATTTATTTCCACCACACTTTCAAACTTTTCTATGCAAAATTTAAGAAGTTTTTAAAAAATGTTTAATGAAACCCCATAATTCCATGAAACCTAAAAATGAATGTATCAAAGGCAGTGGGATGGAATATGACTTTCTGACTGAAAATGCCTTGCGGGCCACAGGTTGCCTATGTGTAGGTTAGATAAACACCTGTCAAACCTAGTTTAAGTTTAGTGATGCCTGCCACACTACTGGGTTTGAACAAAGACTTCAGAGTTCTGACCCTTCCGTGACTTCCAACCCTGTGATTCTATTATTGGATAATGGTCAGTCTTCTACAGGGTCAGCTCTTGCATGATTTTTTTCTTGACCTTTAAAGAATCGATCTGTCATATAATTTGATGCTGTCATAAGTAAAGAGCATGGGCAAATTTATTAGCTTTGTTATCAGCTGGCAGAAATATTTCACATTAAATTTGTAGACATAGTGGTTTTAGCTGCAATAGCTCTTGATAAATTATGCAGGCCTTTTCTTGGAGAGCAAGGATATTAATCTCAATGTAGAATAGGAAAAAATGCATGATGTAATGGACTTACAAGGGCAATTGTATGGTGCCCAAGCTTGGAGAATTAAGAAACAAACAAACAAACACCTACAGAATGAAACAGCTGGTTTGTAAATTTATTGGTCGCAATCCAGCAAAAATTACAGCCCAGTCCTCCTCATGTTTCTTTGAATCAATTTTCTGCTGGGTACAAAGGAATTAATTCTCCAATAAGGCTGTAATTCTCTGCCTTTTTACCTGAGGATAAGTCCCACTGAATTCATTTGGTCCTACTTCTGTGTAGGAATGTAAAAAATCACGTTGTAGGGCAGAAGTGTTGTCAGGGCTGCTTGGGGGTCCTTCAGGTGGGGGAACGGGTCAATCCCTGGTTGTTCACAACTTGAGTCTGGTGGGTGGGAGGTGGGGAAAGTTCACAGCAGAAAGGGCCCCAAAAGGATTTATCTTGACATCCCATGTTAGGCAAGGATGGTGCTACCTTTTTATTTTAGTTCAGTGTATGTATATATGCATGTAGATATCCACACATATGAATATACAAACTGAATCTATTTCAGAATCCCTGAGGCTATCTGCATACATACAGCAGAATATACCCAGCAGAAAATTGATTCAAAGAAACATGGGGAGGACTGGGCTGTAATTTTTGCTGGATTGGGACCAATAGGTTTGTTGTTGTTGTGTGCCTTCAAGTCATTTCTGACTTATGGTAACTCTAAGGTGAACCTATCTTAGGTTTTTTTTTTAGCAAGTTTCTTCATGGGCGGGTTGCCATTGCCATCCTCTGAGGCTGAGAGTGTGTGACTAGCGCAAGGTCAACCAGTGGATTTACATGACTGAGCCAGGACTTGAACCCTGCTCTTCAGAGTTATAGTCCAACACTCAAACCACTATGCCACATCGGCTCAATGAACTAAAAAAGAACTAAAAAAAACCCCTCCAGACTTACCAGATGTGAATGACAAGGAAAACATCTTTGTGACCCTTCCTTTCTTGATCTTTGCCCACCTCCCACACTATATACATTGGAGGGGGGGGAACCTGTGACACCATATTTATTGGACCTAGGCAACCACCCACCTGTCCCATCCTCCAATTCCCGTCCCCAATTCCATCCAGATTGTGATTCAGAGTATAGGATTCATGTTTTAAAAAGCAGGGTTTTTTGCTTGAAACTGCAAAGCAAAACTTTTTTTAAAAATTGCATTGAAGTCCATAGGTGTTGAAAAGAAGTGCTTCTGGATGGAGGAAAGGGTGAATTATTTTGCAGGTTTGGATTTAGCCTAACTTGGTCCTATTGAAATTAGTGGAACAAGTTACCTATGAATTAATGTAAGTCTCAGTGATTAAACCTGAAAGTTGGAATAATGTGCAATTAAGTTAATGTTGATCCACATTCCTATATTCTGAACTCTGTAAGAAATGTTTAGCTGTTGCTAAGTCCAAATTTTGCAAGGCAAATGAGATATTGAAGGATTTAAAATATATGACTTTTCTTATGTTCCTTCTGTGTTAGAATGAGGTTGAAGATCAAGTCCCTTTCCCTTACAGTGTTGTCTCTAACAACTCTCAGCCACATACTGGATTTGGATACATTGAAAGAACAAAGAAAATTTGCATTTTATTGCTGAGAACAAAAATAGTAAATTTGCTCTATAACTCAGGTCTAGACATGCATAGTTATGCATGACTAGCTGTACAAGAATGTTGATGGTAATGCAGATTCCTCCTTTTAGAATGCAGATCAGGAGAAGCTGGTGATGGATAAGAGCATTCAAGGGCAACTGGGAGAGTCAGCTGGATAAGAAGAAAAGAAGAAACAGAAATAGAGACTCAGAGCTCCAGGACTGCCCATTAATTAATAATTAATGTTATAATAGGGATTAATATAATTAATGTTATAACAGGGATAGAGAGTATGCCCTACGACATTTGGAAGGCCTATCCCTGAATTACAAGAATTATTGGTTACTAATAAGAAATCAGAATAATGTGCTATTCATTGGAAGGGTTGCTTCTTTGACCTGGCATCTTAATCGTCACCCAGGCCCTGATGTCGTTCTGGAACTCTTTCTGCCTGGCACACAGCTGGAATTACATATGGCCACATTATAGGTCACATATACCCCCAGACTGTTTTTGCGTTTGCCTGAACCCCAATTTCCATAATTTTTAAATATATTTTTCAAAGGAAAGGGAATATGATTTTTTTCCTAAAACTAGGTAGGTACCTCCATCCAATGGAAGAGAAGAAACTACTGATGAATTTGAGAAAACCCAATTTCTCACTCATCCAGACACTGAAAGGGAAGGAGTGAGGCAGTGGCATCATCAGGGAGTGCAGGGCATGAGGATTGCACAGGTGACACCTCAGAAGAGGGGTGACACCTGGTCAGTCCCAGCCTCCAATTTCATGCCATTGCCTTATTCTTCTCGTGAGGAGAACAACATGGTGGTACCAAGGAAGGCCTATCATCCCCACTAGTGCTGTTGCCTCATTCTTCTCATGAGGAGAATGATGTGGTGGCATTGAGGAAGGCCAAGTGCATCCCCTGCATCTTGGTGACATTGCTTCATGCGCTGCCTCCAGAAG